GTGGTTATGTGGTCACCCGGCGTGAATTTAGAGTGGAGTGCATTCCCCCACCCACCCCACGCCCCCCCGTGGGTTGGGGGGGGGGAAATTGGGGGAGTTGAAGTCCACTCATCTTAAAGTGGCCAGGTTTGGACAACACTGCCTTAAATGAATTTCTCCTTGCTTGTTTTAAGAAACAGATCAGTTCTGGAATGTTAAGCCTGTTTACTGAATATGAAACCCATTGAACACAGGGGCACTTAAGTCAGAATAACCAGATCTGCAGAATGTACTTGGAATAGAAACGTGTTCCCTAAGATTATAGCTGCTGAATCCAAGGATGGTGATTTAGGCTGCAGTCCCTCAATTCTATCTTCAGAGTGAAGGTCAAGTAATGTTGCCTCCTTGCTTCTCTGTCCTTCCTATCTTCTGCAGGAAGGCTGCTATGTGCCATCAGAAAACTGCAGGCAACATGCCCAAAAGTGGCATAAAGACCTTTGCCTCCTGCTCTTGAATGCCCATAGAGGACTTCAGAGATACTGTGCTGCCATCGCCAAGGAGATTCCCAATTTGCCACAGCTGAAGTTAGGTATGTGGAGGGTAATGAATTGAGAACAATCTACAACATCTGGGTCTGATGCTAGGGTCAACACTAAGACTCAATTTTGCTCTTCCACCACCACCACCACCATGATCTTTCTTTTGCCCAAGTGGCATCTATTAACTCAGTTCCTTCCCATTCATACACTTTTGAGCAGTCTCAAACAATCAGCTTAAATCTATCCCCCCAATGAAATTCTCGATTTCATTTGTTGCCTTGGCCTCAAGTACCTTTATCAGTTGCAGTCAAAGGAAAACATTAGCTTATCTATCTAAAGTTGAGGATGCATTTACCCTTGAAATACTATATCAGCATGATCATTGGTGAATAAATCCTAACACAAATACACTAGTCCTATTATCTCCACATTCGTTTAATCCAGTTAATTGATTTGGAAAGATCTCTTTTTTGTTGTTTTGTTTTAATATAATAATTGAATAAAAACCATGTTGTATGCATTCTCTTTGCTTAGAGCTGCCTCCCCCCCCCCCCCCCCAAGGTTTACATAATGTCAGAGAGTGACTCATGACATGCCTGTTATTTCTGGAAAAACATAAGAGTCATATTATCTGTCGGTTAATTCTCTACAAAGTTTGAGTTTGAATAGACCACTTAGAAATGTGTGTGTTTAAGTACCTACCCAAAAATGTGTACGTACTTAGAATGCAATTTCTCCCATAGTTTTCTGTATGCAGTTTTTCCTAATGTATAACACTAAAGAGGAGGAGGAGGAGGAGGAGGAGGAGAAGAAGAAGAAGAAGAAGAAGAAGAAGAAGAA